CTTAATCCTCATCTGAGTGAGGATATTTTTTATCATTGATCTTTAGAGAGAGAGTAGAAGGGAGTGGGGGTGGGAGAAAGAGATTTTAACTGGTTGCTCCTGCTCGAGACCAAGCCCCGACTGGGGCCAGGGATCAAACCTGCAACCGAAGTACATGCCCTTGACCAGGAATTGAACCGAGACCCTTCAGTCCTTGGATCAACCCTCTAACCACTGAGAAACCGCCAAGGCATTATTTACATTTTTAATTAATCTTTAAAAAAAAATTAGTATTTTTTATTATTGACTTTAGAGAAAGAGAAAAACATTGATATGAGAGGGTGGCATCAATTATGAGTCGGAAACCTGGATATGTGCCCTGACCAGGAATCGAACCAGTGACCTTCTGGTACATGGGAGAATGCTCAACCAACTGAGCCACACCAACCAGGGCTTTAATTAATCTTTTTATACATTCTGTCCACCCTTTCCAACAATGTTATTAGCATTTTTAAAGAGATATTTAGAGGTCTTTAAATACTAATATTTAAGTATAAAGATATTTGAAGAGACTACTTTGTCTTCTTCCACAGTTCACTTGGCATACTCTTTTCAGGTACTCAGAAACTGTAATTAACCCAGACAAAGTACCAATGAGAACCTTCCAAACGCTGAATTATCCACTATGGTGGGTAATGTCTTATTACATATTTGTGACAGAAAAATCTAGGTATTTTTAAAAAACACAAATCCTATTTTGATTTTTGGGGACCTTTTTAACTTTTAAGATTATATTAATGCTAATGGCCTGGTGCATGAATTCGTGCACATTGAAAGGAAATTAATTAGAGGAAATATTTTAATATCACTATTCACCCTTTCTCTATTAGAAGTGTCAGCCAAATTCACAATGGACAATGACAAAGAGAAACACGCGTGATATTGGCACCAGTGAGAGCTTTATATGTGCGTATGCGCAAGTCAACTTAGCCTTTTATAGATAGAGAATATACTTGCTTAATTAGACCTGCTTTCTGATTTAGCTAAACTTTTTCCAGCCCACTGAAGCACCCCAACTTCTCTTTCAGGTAATTGTCAGCAACACAGCAGTATGAGGCACGGGAAAACGCTTCACAGACATTTGGTTAAAGTGTGAAATGTTTCTGCCTGGCTATAAAGCAAGTCGGGTTTCTGGGCTGAAGAAACTGCAAGGAGGCTAGTCCCTAGGGAGAGGAAGTCGGGCGTTGCTACATGACGTCATTACCTGGACAGTTGGACACTTAGCATATTAGCCTTATATATAGAGAGATATTAACATGACTATATAACTTTCACTGTTGTTTTCTCATAAAGAAATGTGTGGTCAGAAGTTCACTAAGTTGTACAATTTGGCTGTTCTACAGATCCTGTCTACCTTTCATGACCAACTACAGTTTTCACTGCAATGTGTGCCATCATAGTGGGAATACCTATTTCCTCCGGAAGCAAGCAAGTAAGAACAGAGTGCTCTGGAGTACTGCAAACGAATTATCCTCTAG